AGTCTTTACAAACGAGGCAAGAACTTGCCAATGAGCTCTCCGTGCCTTTGTCGATGTTCTTCCAGACGTCATGTGACACTGACGTATATTACTCCGCTGTACACAATAGGTGGCAGAGCATCGACGACAAATTACAGGCCCCTAAGCCTGACATGCATTCTCCGCAACGCTATGGGAGGATAAGGACGAGTTAATTTACTCAATTACTGGAAGTCGGCGACTTGTGATCGAACTGCCAACATGGGTTCCGGAAAGGTAGATCCTGCGGGACACACTTGCTGCAGTCTCTCTAGAGTTGGACCCGAGCACTCGACGACGGGCACACGGTCCACATAGCATTCATTGACTTCCAGAAGGCGTTTGACACTGTACCACACCATAGACTTACACAAACTGAAAAAAATAGGGTCCAGATGCAACTTTCTGAAATGGATCAAAAACTGCCTTGTGGGTCGACACCAGGTTGTGCGCATCGGTCAAGGGAAATCATATCATGTTGTGGTCGTGAGTGGTGTTCCCCATGCTTCAGTACTGGGGCTCATTTTGTTCCTAATATACGTGGACGATTGTGCAAGAGCTTTGGACTGCGAAGTAGCAATATTTGCGGACGACAGGAAGATTTGAAGTTTAATTCGAGGTTTTGCCGACAAAGTTCTCAGATAAACCTAAATCTGTTGGAAGTGGTCAAACCGTTGGCTCCTGCCGTTTAACGTTGGTAAATGATTCTTCGCCAAGGCAACCCAGTCAGATCCGCCTGCACAAGAGACTACTTTCTGCGCGGTGCAGCATTACAAGATGTCGAAGCCCAAAACGACTTCGGTTTGCTGACGACGAACTCCCTAAAACCATCCGCCCATCGTTCCAGAGTGGCAAAGAGCGCGATATCTGTACTGTACTCTCCTAAGCTGGCGTTTAGGGATTTTGACGAAGGTGTTTTCAGAAGACGAGGTTGCAAGAATTCGTAGCTTTCGATAAATTCTCGTCGGGCCAGTACGATTTTATGGGAAGGGGGTGAAAGTAAAGGCCCGTCAGTGATATGATAAATCGAACATGTTTTCTCAAAGACATTCGAAACATTCGTGCGGCCGCACTTGGAATGCGGCATACAAGCCTGGAGACCGTGGGTGGTTGAGGCTCAAAACTGCCTCGAAAGAGTTCAGAGAAGAGCCATGAATATGGTTAGGAGTAAAATGTCCTTTCCTTATACAGCCCGCCTAGTCCATAGTTGCTGCCATTTATTTTGGGCTGGCTGTAGATAGAACAGCTAGCCGTCATAAGTGGGTGAAAAGAAAAAGAGAATATCGGGAATATCCTGACCGTCCTACTCGGTCCACCGCTCTTTGTCAGATTTTGCCAATAATGGGTCAGGGGAAAAGCGGGCCTTTTTCGCCTGTCCCTTTTATTGCTTCTTCACTGAAATGTCAAATTTTTAGTCGACTTGCTCAACTGCAATTCGTGAAAACGCCACCTTCTTTGATTACATTGCAGATGCAGTTCGCAAGAGTACAACCGGCTGGTCTCCTGGGAATATGGACAGGTATGGTGGTAGAGCCTAATATCAAGAGACTAATAACGCCAGCTCTGTTTTGATACGTTCCAACGTACTTTCAGTTCCACGTCTGCGCTACTTCAGCCGCACCTTATCCAACGATGTGTCCGTCCGATTCAGTTACGCTTCTTTTTACATCCAAACCTGTTCATACTCGCACAGTTATACGTAATATTGCATTGCACCTTAGGTAGTATGCATCGTAGCTCTTTATTTTTCAACAGTTCCTCACATGTTTGGCCTTTCTGTTTATGTCCCACTAAGACAATGAGATTTTTATTCGTAGATCTTTTTAACGATTGTGGTAGAAATGTGCATTTTTTACCAACGAATTTCTTGTACTGCAGGAATCCGCTACCGATAACGGTGGCCATGCTTATCGTGCACTTTGACAAAGCATGATGGACTATATTTTTGACTGTTTATATTTTCTCTTCATTCTCTTTTTGTATTAATAAATTGCCTTAAACCATCAGTTTTCGTCCTAATATTTTGTCTTATAGGTTGTTACACCGTAGTGTCCATGTATACTGATTCTTGCGACAGGGTTGCTTGCCGCGGCTTGGAGCTTCAAAGTGAAACATTTAAGTCTGACACAGAGGTGGGCGGAGAAAAAAATATCGCAACGGGTGGGGCATGGACGACAAAGATTCGACGTCCCTCCGTGCACTTTTTTCGATGAGAGTGTCAGAGGTATCCGCTCTGCGGTATACCCGGTTTAACCTGTCATAACCCCCTGATAAGATGAGGCTGCGATGTGGCTGGCCGGGACTCGTGCTGGTAAGATCCATACCAGTTCGCAGAAAGTGCAAAATTATTTAGTGATTTCCGCACTGTCAGGTATTTAATGCATCTCTCTCATAATGACACCTCACCATTTTCTCCCCCCA